GGTTCATCCATCAGTAGTCTGTTCTATGATCATGCAGCTGATGAGGCCACGGTTGGAGTCCATTCGGGAGGAAATGCAAAACAAGGTACATTACGTTTGTTATTACAGCCATACATCATCGGCTTCCTCTTCACTTTTGCTACTCTGCTAATAGCTTTTGCACGGAGTACATGCCAACTCAGCTTTAAACTCAGGACTTCCTTAGCTTCATGTTTCTTCTAATATTATCCATTTCCTTTCTCACTATATGTGTTCAGGGAATGGACCCGGTTACGATGGCAGAAGGTCAAAAAAAGATGAAGAATTTGTTTAAAGAGTAAGCTGCTATTAAATTTAAGTAACTGAGATAGGTTTGTGACAGAATTTAAGTTGCTATTAAATTTAAGTAACTGAGATAGGTTTGTGACAGAATCCAAACCCATAATCTCTTATGTGTAGACTACAACGAGTGCTCTATGTATCATATCATAACTTCTCTGTTCTACCGGCTATTGTATTGGTCGAGTCTCATAACGTTTTGAGTATTTTGGTAACTACCTCCACATGACCATATACTATTTGTTTATTTATTATAGATATGGTGTCACTCCATTCACCCCAATGAAAGGGATGTTTATTCAGGGACCTCTGTTCATATGCTTTTTCCTTGCTGTAAGACCTTTTAATATTTTAGATGCTTTTTTCGATTTGTTGTTCGGTATAAGTTTGTTTTTGCTTTGTCTCAATCAGTTACATTTTGTTTCCCAGATTCGAAATATGGCAGAGAAGGTACCTTCATTCCAAACCGGAGGTGCGTTATGGTTTACCGATCTAACAACTCCCGACAGCTTATACATCTTGCCGGTTATAACAGCATTGACATTCTTGATAACCGTTGAGGTATATTTTCTGCTAACTTAATAACAATTTTGACATCTTCAACATTGATTTTTCAGACTTGTAAACTTAAAGTTTGGATTGGTCACCTCACAGTGTAATGCACAAGAAGGCATGGAAGGAAATCCGATGGCTGGCACAGTAAAAAACGTTTGTCGAGGTTTCGCCCTCCTCACAGTCCCGATGACAATGAGTTTTCCACAGGTTAGTAGTATTATCAATAAAAGGGTCAGGTATTGTGAAGTTTCTTACCCACCGGGCTAACGTATTTGCTCAAATTTCTCAGGCCATATTTTGTTACTGGATCACATCCAACCTGTTCTCTCTCATGTATGGACTTGGTGAGTGAACGTGTAATCTAGATTCCTAACTCAGGCATATTCATGGTTTGAAAACAATAACACTGAATGGTTTGGTTTATCCGTGGTGATTGACTACAGTGATCAGGCGTCCGCAAGTGAAGAAGATGTTACGCATACCTGATCTGCCTCCACCTCCTCCAGGTCAACAACCTTCCTTTGACCTGTTTTCAGCTCTCAAGAAGATGAAAGCCATGACAAAGGATTACTCACAGAACGAGACCCAACCGCCTGTAACAGTAAACCCGAGGATCCCTTCCACATCGTTGAGTCCTGTTAGTAAAAGGCTCAAGGCTTTGGAGAACCAAGTTAAAG